TCATGCCCTAACACCAGTATTCGGTACTCAAAGTTTAAAAAAAACGCGTTCCGTGATATGAGTATCCATAATACGACTTTGTGAGTCGCTGACAACACTTTTATTGCCGACGGAAGTCGCTCCAAGGGCCCTGAGCTACCAGGGGTGGTTAGGAATCGATCTTCGATTACCACTGATTTAATGTATTTTTCTTCAATTAATGTTGTTATCTGGAAAATAAAATACATATTTGGCAACGCGTATTGACTTCATGATTATACTACATAGCAAAGCAATCGAAATTAATCCATACCTGCCTTGGCCTGGTTAGGCACCTTAAATTGCGGCACACATGACTTGAAAAGGCGTGTTAGACCTACTTTCTCCAGGAATGTTGGGTCTGCATAAAGACAATAGCTTCTAATATATCACTTGTCTTTTTTCCATTTTCTAAAATGAAGAAAAAGTTAATAATATCCAGATTATACGTTTTGCTGAATTGTTTGGTTTTCACCAGAGTTCATTAAAACCTAATTATTTAGAAAAACGAATAAAAATTTAGAATCATACTTTGCGAAACAATCCAAATGAAAGTCAATCGTGTGTGTAAGCGCGGGCTTTTACATTACACACGCGCACAAACAGAACAAGTAAGAACGTTGCAGTCGGGCGTTACCGACTTTGGAATACTCATTCACATCCCACCAACAATTTAGTAGTTAAGTTTCGCTCTAATACAGTAGAATATACAGGTTTTTTTTTCCCCTATTTGCCACGCCTCTACTGTGCGTAGACACCTCATTTCGGGCTGATCACCCAAGACCAAAAAGTTTTGTCGGATATATGTCCGCCTACAGGGGGCGTGGCAAACCGCAAAAGTTGATATCTCCTAAAGTATAATTGCTAGAAGCTTCAAATTTAAATAGTTAAGTTACTAGTAGCCTCCTCTATCGATGACCCAAAAGTAATTGTTACGCCTCTTTAGGGGCGTGATATATCGAAAAATACCCTATATTCTCACATATTTTAGCGTAAGCATTCAAATTTTGCACTTAGGTTACCGGTTGCTCGTTCTAAAAACTGACCAAACATGAGGTGTCTACGGCCACTATGGGCGGATAATCGTCATTTGTAGTGTAGAATTGCGACATTTATATTCGTGAGCCATCTATATAAATAGGCTTAATAGGTATTGATAACACGGAAGGAAACATTTTTATGAAATTTAAAAAATATAAACTAAATTATAAATTTCTAAAGAATTTAAAAACAATTTAAATTTTACTGCTGTCGAAAATATATTGAAATATCAATATATCGATAATATTTTGATTCAAAATTTTATTTATATCGGGATATTTTTTTTTTTTGCCAAATGTCGAATAATTGTTGCGATTTTTTGATATATTTGAGTTAGTTTGATAAGTGAAACAAGCGCAAAAGTAAATAAGTAAGAAAACTCTAGTCAAGAGTGCTCGAAGGCTCTAGTCGAGACTGCTCGACTAGAAGATACCCTGAACCCTCCAAGCTGATATTCTAAACATTTTGCTCTTCTTCTATGCACACATACATACACACGCACGTATTAGAACGCGCTCTGCTAACGGCGCAGTAAGCAGCGACTGCGCTTGGGCTGCGTGGGCAATATTATACGAATTTATTTGTTGAATAATTTAATTTCTAGAAGTAAAATCGTAATGAAACTTTCAGAACGGAATAATATTGTTCAATGTATGTACATTCCAAAGCATAAGTTTTTAGTACTTGAAATGCGTTTTTTTTTTTTATACCCTGAACCCATTCAAAATGGGAAATCAGGGTATAATGGTTTTGTTGAAATGTATGTAACAGGCAGAAGGAGGCGTGGCAGACCCCACAAAGTATATATATTCTTGATCAGGGCGACGAGCTGAGTCGATTTGGCCCTGTCCGTCTGTCTGTCTGTCCGTCTGTCCGTCCGTCCGTCTGTCCGTCTTTCCGTCTGTCCGTCTGTCCGTATGTTTGAACGCGTCGATTTCCGAAGATATAAGAGCTAGAGACTTGAATTTTTTTTTAAATGACCGTATATACAGCGCGGACGTCGAGTTTGCTTTTATAATTCGATAAATCATCCCGTTATGTTTTTATCGAGTAAAAACATTCAAGTTCAAATCAGGTGCCACTATAGTTAATTGTGAATGATTTTTCTTTTTTTTAAATTTCTCAAATATTCAATATAATATGTAGATCATATGCTGAAAGTTTCATTAAATTCCGTTCAGTCAAAAATTAATAAAAAAAATAATCAAATATTTGGCCAATTAACAAACGCACGTGCAGCAGCTACAACAGCATCGTATGCGTGTGCACACATACATTCAAACTTCTTCTAGAAACATTCGTTGAATCACATCAGCTGTTAGTTTCGTTTAGTTTTGGTAGATGGCGCAGCAGCAGTGAATGTATTTGAGTTTTGCCAGCGCCACTAGCAGGAGTGAGGTGGCCTAGTGTGTTAGCTGCATGACGCTCGATCGAGAAGTCGCGGTTCGAGTCCCGATCGATGCGACTGATGTTAATTTTTTTTAATTGTTTCAAAATATTTTTATTTTTTTCATAAATGAGTTTTCTATTTAATTTATATTTTTAAATACACCGAAATCGAAATTTTAACTATACTTTATGTGCGTTTTTAATAGTTTGGTTATTCTAGCAGATTCTTAGAATCACATCAGCAGTTAGTTTCGTTTAGTTTTGGTAGATGGCGCTGCAGCAGTGAATCTATTTGAGTTTTGCCAGCACCACTAGCATGAGTGAGGTGGCCTAGTGTGTTAGCTGCATGACGCTCGATCGAGAAGTCGTGGTTCGAATCCCGATCGATGCAACTGATGTTAACTTTTTTAATTGTTTCAAAATATTTTTATATTTTATTAAATGAGTTTGGTATTTTATTTATATTTTTAAATACATCGAAATTGAAATTTCAGCCATACTAAATGGGCATTTTTATTTGTTGGGTTCAGGGTAGTATCTAGTCGAGCACTCTCGACTAGAGTTTTCTTACTTGTTTTTTTACAAATTGGTGGCGAAGGGGACGTGGAATCCAAAATATGTAAATTACAAAATGTTTGTATTCATCATATGTATATACACAGTAAATCAGTCTCCAGGTCTAATAGTATTCCAGGCTAATAGTATTGAGGCTGAAAAAACAAAATCAGTTTTTCGATTATTCTCGATAAAAAACTTGGATGATTTATCGAAAAAATAAGAAAAACTCGTACTGCGTATGGTATACACGAGTATGCACGCCAAATTGTAACTCTCTAGCTTTTGTATCTTCTGAGATCGACGCACTCAGACGGACGGGCGGACGGACGGATGGACAGACGGACAGGGCTATATCGACTCAGCTCATCGCCCTGATCAAGAATATATACTGTATGGGGTATGCCACGCCTGCTTCTGCCCGTTACATACTTTTTCACAAAACCATTAGACCCTGATTTCCCATTTTCAATGGGTTCAGGGTATTATGAGCGAGAATAAGTGAAGCCTTAAAACGGAATAAAAAGGATGCCAAAGCGTAAAGGCGTCGATTCTCTCGAGATTATGCATGCATTTTCTACTTCGTATTTGCTCAGCTTAGCACATTTTCATATGCTATGCGCTATTTTTGCGTTACTTTCTCTCACATACTCTTCCCTTTGTCTACTTATGATCTCTCCATCTGTGTCACTCAACATATATACATACATATGTATGTATATTACGAACTGTTAATTTGAACACCGTTTTTCTGGAATTCATTCAGCACTCTAGTACATACATACATACATGTATGTATTACAAAAACAAATGACATGACGCGCTCTTACTAGCTGCAATTGGCAAAATGTGTTAGCGACTCACGAAGTCGTATTATGGATACTCATATCACAGAACACGTTTGTTAAAAAAAAAAAAAAAAAAACGGTCTTCATCATTTTAACAAAGAATCGAAAAATATTGATATATAGATTTTTAAAGTTACATATCAAATATAATTTTGATATTTTTTCAAAACTTAAAATATCATTGATATGATATTTTTTTTCGAAATCGGCAACCCTACAGTCTACGCCCAACTATTAAATTTATATGCGCGTGCCACTTATAAATACTCATATGTATATGTTTCCAGAGACTGCAAGCGTGTGTGTGCTTGCCCGTCGCGAAATCATATGCTTTATGCGCATCAACACTTTCATACCCTTTCCACAAATAATCATCGAAATGCTTACAGTTTGTTTGCATGAGCGTGGCAAATGCTTTCAAGATTAAGGTATACTCTTCACTCAAAGGAAAGAGCTGGGATCGTCGCGAACTAAATTCAATATTTGTGCGTTGCTGACTTCGATGATTTGAAAGACCATAGAGAGCTAGCGAGAGAGGGATGAAGTGAGAAATAGCGCATAGCTTTGCTTCATATAAGAACGGGACAATTTCGTTTGAGCGCTTGCAGCGCACCTACATTGTCGTGCAGTATTTTCACTGCTCGAGTCTCCAGCGACCGAGCCGGACAAATACGAAGTATAGTAGTCCACCAACTTAACATTTTCTGCTGTAAAAAAATTTGTTCTACATGTCTAGTCTATGTGTTGTCTGGTTAGTGGTATATATTAACATGCAACATCTCGCCTATATCTGAGGGAATAGGTGCTTCTTCGAGCACTTGTTTCTATGAATTACGGACGTATTTTGCTGTTTGGCAGATTGTAACGACCTCGATCGCTAATTTGGTAATACTTGGAATTAAGTAGTAAATGAAAATTTGCTTGGCGTTTTCTAGCTCGGTCCTATGAGCCCTATTATGTTTATCAACAACTATTTCCCTCTGCTCCTTTTACGACGTCAGTATGGGAATGTTTTTGCCAATTTATACTGCACAAATGCTGTAAATGTAAATACAGTATTATTATTATTATTTTTTAGCAATATCGCATATCCTTTTTACTGGCGTATATTTATTCAAAAAATGTATATCTGTGATATCATTGTTATAGGTTTCCCGCTTTGAGACAAAACATCACCCAAACCAAAGAAGGAAGCGATGGTTGTCAAGTCAAAAGATTTTTTTATAATCTGGATAAGGTAAAATTAGAATGTCCTAAGCTTTTTGAATGCATGGGACTGCGTTTCGTCAAAGTTGACTTGTATTTTCTTTGACTTACTTTGCCACTTTCGCCTCTTAAAATTGTGCCTATTGTTTTTGCTTAAGCGCAAAATCATTAATAAAACATCTATAGTAGCTTGCTAGTTCTAACAACCACTTGACATTGGATTGAATTACTCATTCAATACTGTCTCGAAACAAATTTGATTTTTCAAAAGAAACTCTCATGTTGTCCTCATCCCATTTATCCAAAACCCATGCGATGTGCTTAACATGGCTAACGTCGTCAATATGAACTTAACAATAATTCCCGCTTTGTATTATGATCACATCCACTATCACTCTCTGAAGAAGAATATAGATCAAATCGAAACTAAACACTATCATATTAAAGTGTATTCCTACAGGGTTATTATTTTCTGGTTCTTAAAGTAAGTTTGCTGAAGTCTGTCGAATCAGATTATTCCATCAGACGTTTGGCAATAGATAAAATACCATATTTCTGTTAGGGTACGAGGGATTTTCTATCTGGATCTAGATTAGTTGTCGATTAATTCTTTGTTAACTGTATTCATTGCCTGCTGATGTATTTTGTTCACTGTTCTGGTATATTTTCTCGAAGTTGCTACCCTTCTTCTAATTATTTCGGAGAACGGTCAAACGTACGTCGCTTAACGACTTCCTTTTTCCTTCGTGTATTACGAAGGGAATCCGCTATATATTTTTGTTGAACGATGTAGCCACACTGATTGTAAGTTATATAGTGTTTAGTTATTATAGTTTTGTTTGTCAGCAGAGTCAACATTTTTTCTACCACATCTTAATAATGCAGCAAAGTCACATTTCCCTGGCGAAGCGCTGATATTTCTTGCTTGATTAGGTAAACGGGTCGTTTGTCTGAGTATGTAAAATCTAATCTAAATATGATGGAGAGTTAAGAGCAGTATTAAAAAACTATAGTACCATATCGCCTCAGCACTTTATTTTATTTCGTAATATCCACAAAGCGTAGACATTTTTTCAACTACCATCATATCTTTCATAAACCTTATATGCGTTTGTCTCATTTCTGCCCTCAAAACCTGGTGGTACTTTATATAAATCACACCTAATATTATAACAGCGTCCTGAATCAGGAAGCAGTGATGCCAATTTGTCCTTTTTCCGAACAGATCTATCCTGTTTTTAAGGGCTTCGTCCGGAAAAATATCAAACATCCTCTATCCAGAAATCTGTTTTCCCAGTTGGTTAGTAGTTTTTCAGTTGATCGTTTGTGGATGCAAGAGAATTTTATTAATTAACATTGCAGAAGAGTTGAACATAACTTTAGCATTAAATCACTAAAAAGAGAACACATAGACTAGACATGTAGAACAAACTTTTTCAACACCGAAAAAATGCGCTGAAGCGACCGGACAACTTAGTATTTGGTCGGCTCGGTCGTTTGAGGCTAAAGCAGTGAAAATAAGGCACGACAAAATCATCTAATCTCTTAATATATCTCTGTGGTCTCTCAAATAGCAGCAGCGCACAGAAGTTGAAAATTGTTCGCGACGATCCCAGCTCTTTTCTTTTGAGTGAAGGGTATACCGAAATCAGAAAAGCGTTTGTCACGCTCATGCAAACAAATTGTAAGCGTTTCAATGGTTATTCGTGGGAAGGGTATGAAAGCGTTGATGCGCATAAAGAATATGATTTCGCTACGGGCAAGCACACACACACTTGCAGTCTCTGGAAACATGTGTGAGAATTTGTGGCCTGTGTGCGTAACATTTACTGCCTGAGCAAATTGTAAGGCCCAAAATTTAGCGTTGATCGGCCTTTGAGGGAGCACATACATTTGCATACATATGTGTATGTATGTATGAGATGGGATGATAATTGTCTGGCGATTCAGTAGCTTGTCAATTCTGTATGGTTTGAATTGTAGAGTGAATGTCAAATGAACCTTTATGACTTAATTAGTAATTTTGGCAATAAAGGTCATTTCGACATGTGAATTTCATTTCCACTTGAAGTTTTTATAGTCCACTAGCCAAAGCATTTAATAAACTTATTAGTATACCCTGATAAAATTTTTTCGGTTGAAATTTGAATAAAATATGTAATTATAATTATATACAATAATATTTCTTTTTATCAATACACGCATTTATAAACATGATTAGATATAATAGCATATAAATGTATGTAAATATTTATTTATTTATTTATTTAAAGATATTGACAAAACAAGAGTCAACTAAAATTAAAATAGCATATAAAAAGTACAACGCATTATAACAATAGTATCGCCAACCCGATGGGGGTATTTTATTTGCCAGTGCGGCCAGCTATGCCCACCTCGCAGCCAAATGTGGTCAGTGATACTATTGAAACTATGAAAGACAGTGTTAAAATGAAAAACTTAAAATTAGATATTAAAAGAACTTAACTATTTATTTACTTAAAGATATTGACATAACGATAGTCAACTAAAAATTACAAAGCCTAAATTAATTACAGTACAAGTAAGAAAGCTCTACTCGAGACTGCTCGACCACGAGATCCCCTGAACACTTGGAGCAATAGCGATTTAAATAATTTTTCGCGTTTTTCTACTTACACAAAAACCGAAATTGTATAAATTGCATATAAGGATACATAAACAAGTAAGAACGTTGCAGTCGGGCGTTACCGACTGCGGAATACTCATTCACATCCCATCAACAATTTAGTAGTTAAGTTTTGCTCTAATACTGTAGAATATACAGGTTTTTCCGATTTGCCTCATTTTTGGTCAGTTTTTAGAACGAGCAACCGGTAACCTAAGTGCAAAATTTGAATGCTTACCCTCAAAAAATGTGAAAATTACAGGGTATTTTTCGATATGCCACGCCCCTAAAGAGGCGTAAAAATTATTTTTGGGGAATCGATAGAGGAGGCTACCAGTAACTCAACTCAATTTGAAGCTTCTAGCTATTATACTTTAGGAGATATAAACTTTTGCGGTTTGCCACGCCCCCTGTGGGCGGACATATATCCGACAAAACTTTTTGGTCTTGGGTGATCAGTCCGAGTATATATACAAAATTTTAGGTCTCTGCCATGAATAGTGTCCAATATATAAGAGAATTTAAAAAATCACTATATCTTCACGTCCGATTTTCCACGCCCCCAATGGGCGTATACTTATAATTTTATCTTTGACGTGCAAAATTTCAGCATTCTAGGTTTACAACTTTGGGAGATACAGCTTTATCCGATTTACCACGTTCCCAATGGGCATAGATATATCCGCCATAGCTCGTGATCTTGGGCGGTCAACGCAGACCTATATACCAAATTTCAGCTTTCTAGCTCTTTAACTAACATGATTTCTGGTATATCGGAAAATGCATTTTCCGATTTGCCACGCCCCTAGTGGGCGGATCGGGAAAATTTTAACACATTGAAAATGGGAAATCAGGGTATAATGGTTTTGTTAAAAGTATGTAACAGGCAGAAGGAGGCGTGGCAGACCCCACAAAGTATATATATTCTTGATCAAGGCGACGAGCTGAGTCGATTTAGCCCCGTCCGTCTGTCTGTCTGTCCGTCCGTCCGTCCGTATGTATGAACGCGTCGATCTCAGAAGATATAAGAGCTAGAGACTTGAAATTTTTTTTCTTTGGTATATCACGCACATATCAAGTTTTTCTCTAAATATCGATAACTACTCTCGATATTTTATTATCGATTAAAAACCTTATCGAAAGCTAGTTATTTAATTATATCTCCTACACCTTTAGAGCTAGAGCTTCCAATTTTAAATTTTAAATGTAGACTTATATATATTTTATACAATTTCGATTTTTGTTAAAATTTACCCCCCACTCCTATTTCTACCCCCTCACTCTACCCTTGTAAAAAGCGTATTTCAAATACTAGATACTTGTGCTTTGGAATGTACATACATTTGAACATGATCAAGAATATATATACTTTGTGGGGTCTGCCACGCCTCCTTCTGCCTGTTACATACTTTTAACAAAACCATTATACCCTGATTTCCCATTTTCAATGGGTTCAGGGTATAAAAAGCAAATATAGAAAACACAGCATACCACGGATCAAACCTTGCATAGGAATATATAGCCACCAAGAAAAATCAACTGACCGCAGTTGTGTGAAATATAATAAAAGCAATTAATTATAAAAAACAAGCAAATTTGCAGAGCAGAAAAACAAACACGTCTTTAAACTCTCACTGAGAACTCTCAATAATGTACATATACATCTGCGTGGAGTGGATATGGCAGTCCGTAGGACCAACCAACCAGCGACAGAATTGACAAGCTACTGAATCGCCAGACATTTATCATCCCATCTCATACATACATACACATATGTATCCAAATGTATGTGCTCCCTCAAAGGCCGATCAACGCTAAATTTTGGGTATTACAATTTGCTCAGGCAGCAAATTTTACGCACACAGGCCACAAATTCTCACACATGTTTCCAGAGACTGCAAGTGTGTGTGTGCTTGCCCGTCGCGAAATCATATTCTTTATGCGTATCAACGCTTTCATACCCTTCCCACGAATAATCATCGAAACGCTTACAATTTGTTTGCATGAGCGTGACAAACGCTTTTCTGATTTCGGTATACCCTTCACTCAAAAGAAAAGAGCTGGGATCCTCGCGAACAATTTTCAACTTCTGTGCGCTGCTGCTATTTGAGAGACCACAGAGAGAGATATAGTAAGAGCAGAGCTTGAAAATGAGAGTTGAGCGTTTTTTCGTTTATTCTCTTTCTCGCATCATACCCAAAAAAAATTGTGTAGACACGTCTCTCTCTGACCGTCACTTTCTGTTTTCTTTAGCATCTATTTCGCTCAGACGCAATGCGAACACTCATTCGTGTGACGCTCTCACATGAGTGTCGCGTAAAACTAACACGATTTTCCCTCACACAAAGCCTCTCAGCAAAAAACACTTTGACTAACAAACTCAGCAGAAAATGTTTTTGCCTTCGTGTGCATGTAAATACACGCATACATACATACAAAAAGAACGCAGCAATCGCGCGTGATTACCCATACAAACGCAACTTACCGTTACTTCATTTAACTCAAGCAGACGATCAGTGTTTTACTTGAGGAAACGAAAACAGAAACAACTATCTCCCTCAGAGCGCGAGAGAGCTAAGCCAGACGCGACAAAAACACTTTCTGTCTGAGTTTTTTTGACTGTGTCACTGAAAGACACTTTTTTGCAGACAACGAAAAAGTGTTAACAGTTATTTGCGAGCTATGAGTAAGAGTGTAGGACAAATAGCGCATAGCCGCGCTTCATATAAGAATGGCGCCATTTCGTTTGAGCGCTTGCAGCGCACTGATTTTGTCGTGCCTTATTTTTACTGCTTGAGCCTCAAACGACCAAGCCGACCAAATTCGGTGTTGAAAAAGTTTGTTCTACATGTCTAGTCTATGTGTTCTCTGGTTAGTAATTAAATATACTAAATTGTATACCGATAGTAGGCTAAGAACTATGCCAAAATGAGTATAACAGTGATAAATTTAATTGTGTTAATGTCCTGCAATTTCGCATTGGATCTCTTCTCTTATGCCGCGAGTGCAGTTGCTACTGCGGCTTCCTCGTTATTTATAGCTGCTATTCTTGAAATATTTTCGGTTTTTTTTTAATTTCCCAAATTGACTTGTGTAATAATTAGTTATATGTAGTAAACCTTCATTATCCTTTATTATTCATGTTCTATTATTGTTTTTATTTTCAAATACACAGAATTTAAACTATACGCTGGTCCCATACAAAAAAGGATTACAAATAACTGAATAATTTGATTCAAGTTGAGTACTTGAAATCGCAAAAATCATTTAATATGCGTAATAAATCTTTTTGGAGCTGTCTACTTATTCTATTGTACAACTCATCCATTACCGATTGTCTGGTATGCAGTGTAACTGGAAGTACTGTAGAAGACGAAAAAACTTCAAATCATCATAACACAGCAAATGAAAAATTACTCAGCATGCATATAAGAACATCGTCCATGCCTATAGCAACCACCCCGGCACCTTCGGGATCATTGCAAATGATGAATGTTGTTACTTCGTTGTCTAATGCAGGAAGTGGGGAAAATATTCTAAAAAGTGATCAACAACATCATAGAAGTTCATTCAATCTTCTAAGCGAAGCTATGTCCCAGGCGGTTAGCAACGAATACAGTAAGTTTATTGTTTATTTTTTTATTTGTTCTTACATTTTATCCAATCTGTATGATATGTACATATATTGTATAAATTTGCTATATTTGGCTTAAGTTTACTGATTTTTCCATGCTGAAGGATAGGACTGCAAATCCATCGATGGCTATTGATAGTATCGATGGTTTTGGGCTCTCATGATATATCGATGGTTTTTTTCATCCATCGATATTTTACTACTAGGTGGCGCGAAGAGACGCATGTAAGCATTTTCCGGAATATACATATATAACATAACATATATATATATAAACATTAAGTTAATAATATTATTATATTGTGATTAGCTTTTATAGCTATATTTCAATGATATTTTTGGTTCTTCGTAAGAAGAATGTATGGATAAATTTTGAAAGCCATCAATTAAGCATGAAACTGATGTTTAAAGTGCAAGTGTGTTTTTTATTATATTATGTACATTTAAGATGGCGCTTCTGCTTCTAAGTCTTCCACTGCTGCTGCTAGTGCTACTCGATTTTTGCCCACCGCTTCTGAGGATGATGCATCCAATTTTGTCCATATGTAATACAATATATATTTTATTAGATATACAACCATCATATAAATATCCGATTACTATTGTATTGGATTCTTATACAAAATTGCACGAATAATTTTATGCTGGATGAATGATCGAAATTATTGAAAATTTATTCATTTGTAAGAACTTCAAATCTACGATGGAACTATCGATAGTATCGATGGTTCATTCCATTGATGGATAAATCTATCGAGGGTAACCTCTATCGATGGCTTTGCAGCCCTACTGAAGGATATTCTTCATGTGTAGGGTCCAAGCACTAACCAGAGAACACATAGACTAGACATCTAGAACAAATTTTTTCACCGACGAAAAAATGCGCTGAGGAGACTACACAACTTCGTATTTGCTCGGCTCAGTCTCTTGAGGCTCAAGCATTGAAAATTAGGCATGACAAAATCAGTGCGCTGCGACTGCTGCCACGAAATGCACACATTATCAAATGAAGCACGCTAACATTTTGTATGAACGTGGCGAACGCTTTACAAATTTCGGTATACCCTTCACTCAAAAGGAACGAGATGAGATCGTCGCGAACAATTTTCAATTTTTGTGCGCTGCTGCTATTCGAGAGTTCATAGAGAGAGAGAGAGAGAGAGAGCATAAAGAGAGGGAGAGAGTGAGTAAGGGAAAAAGAGCGCATAGTCGTGCTTCATTTGGTAATGCGTGCATTTCGTGGCAGCAGTCGCAGCACACTGATTTTGTTCAATGCTTGAGCCTCAGAAGACCGAGCCTACCAAATACGAAGTTGTCCGGTCCGTTCAGCGCATTTTTAACTTAATTGTTTAATAACTTTTTTTGTGGACATACGATCGTCATGAAACTTTTATATTATGATTATAATCTGATTTATATATTATGATAATCATGAATATGCATATATTTGCCAAAGAGACTTGTGTCTCTAGTATTTGAAATACGCCTTTTACAAAAGTGAGGGTGGATATAGAGGTGGGTATAGAGGTGGGTATAGAGGTGGGGGTAAATTGTAACAAAAACCAAAATTGCATAAATTGCATAAAAGCATACATTAAAAATTTGGAGACTCTAGCAATAAGGGTGTAGGAGATATAATTTTATAACTGGTTTTCGATAAGGTTTTTTATCGATAAAAAAAGATCGGGATGAGTTATCGATTTTTAATGATAAACTCGATATCCGCGCTGTAAATACGGACAATACGGTCCAAATCGACTCAGCTCATCGCCCTGATCAAGAATATACATATATACTTTGTGGGGTCTGCCACGCCTCCTTTTGCCTGTTACATACATTTCAACAAAACCATTATACCCTGATTTCCCATTGAAAATGGGTTCAGGGTATAAAAATATATACACTCAATCTCAGTTTTAGCATCTTTATAAAAATTAATAACGAAAATGCAGGAAAAGCATATACACTACTATTAGACACGGGTGCACATATATCAATTTTAAAAGAAAATATAGATATCTATATATATAAAAGAGAGTTGTGTAAAAGTGTATTAGCACTTAAAACTCGAGATCTGCTGGACCAATTTTCATGGTTTTTGATTTGTTGGATTTGTCTCCGCCACGAGGCGGATCAGTAGATCTTTAAAATACTGAAAAAATTTGACGAATACTTGAAAAACGCGGTTTTTTTCCCTAAAGATTCAAATTTCCATTTATACTCAGTAGCCTTGACAACAGTGACAGTTTCGGTCCTGTATAGAAGTAAATAAACAAATGTAGTCAGTCAGTCTACGGCACAGCCTCGAGCAGACCTGACTATTCAACAAAAAAAAAAAAAAAAAAAAAAAAAAAATCAACAAAAAAAAAAAAAAAAAAAAAAAAAAAATTTTTTCCAAATCAAAAAGAAAAATATTTCAAATCAAAAATCTGCAAAAATTCAAAAAAATCAAAAGATTAAAACCTGACTGTTCAAAAAATAAATAAAAAATTCAAAATTCCAAATTAAAAAAAAAATAAGTTAATTATTAAAAAGTGTATTTTTGGCTTTTTATATTTTTGGACTTTTAAACTTTATAAATATTTCAAATAAAAAATCTGCAAAAATAAAAAAAAAAATCGAAAGATTAAAACCTGACTAATCAAAAATAAATAAAAAATTCAAAATTCGAAATTAAAAAAAAAAAAAAGTTAATTATTAAAAAGTGTATTTTTGGCTTTTTATATTTTTGGACTTTTAAACTTTATAAATAATAATTGTGCGCGTGCGTACAAAAGCTAAATATCTCGAATGTTCAGGTATTTGTTTGTCTCAAACCTAAATTTGTGAAAATTATTTATATTTATATTTCTCGATTGTTTTATATGGTTTTGTGCGAGGGCAGTATTACTATTAATAAAAAATACCGCGTCCTAGAAGATCTAATCTTTCCCGGCGGACCCATAATGCAATTAGGCAACGGAATATCGCGAGTCAATTATCTGACGAAGAGCGAGAAATCGCCCGAGAAAGGCTCCGCGTTAGTACCCAGCAAAGAAGGGCCTTAATTCGTGCTTCTCAAAGAGAGGCAGCCCGTGAAATGGCAATAAGAAATGGTTCAAGGATTGATTTGAATCGAGAAGCGTTTCGATATGATTGCACCATTGACTACAGCTTGAATCGTTTAGTTTGCATTGGTCCAATGGACGTTGTTTGCCAGCATTGTGGCGCATTGAAGTTTGCTGGTGAAACGCCCGGTTTGTGCTGCTTTAGTGGTAAAGTGACATTGCCATTAGTGGTCCCGCCACCAGAGCCATTGCGTTCCCTACTTTTCAGAGACAAATCCAACAAATCAAAAACCATGAAAATTGGTGCAGCAGATCTCGAATTATAAGTTTTGTAACAAACTCTACTTTGTTTTATATATATAGAGACTGTTAGGCGGTACGAAGTTCGCCGGGACAACTAGTATTTGATAATGTAAATAACAACATTTCAACACAAATATCAGGTATTGGTGAAGGTTCAGTTTTTTCAAAAGGTTTAGCATTCGTAGAATTATCTACAGGCAAACATGTAATACCACATAATTTCCACTTAGTCGATAAAGACTTTCCAGTTCCATTATCGGTATAGATTTCATTAAAAAATATAATTGCCAATTAGATTTCACACAATCAAGTGATTCACTAATACTAAGGCCAAAAATTCTAAATTATCCAATACATATACCAATCATACACACATGTGATAATAATGCCACAATGCTTCCAGCTCGTGCTGAAGAAGTCCGTCAAATTAATATTACTTCGAAAGAACAAAATGTTCTTATTCCAAACCAGGGAATCGAAGAAGGAATTTTTATTGGAAACACTATTTCAAATAAAAATAATACATTTGTCCGAATATTAAATACAACCATTCCAATTAGAGTAATAAACCTTAACAAGATAAAAATAGAAACGCTAACTGACTACGAGATAGTCCAAGAAATTAGCGAAGGGAGACAACATACTGTCATGAAAAATTAATTCAGAACTTTCCACCATTTCAAACCAGTTTTAACAAACCTCTCCACAAAATATACAGATATATTCGGACTGACAACCGAATCTATATCTAATAATAATGTTTATAATAATGTTTATAGAATACCACACGCCCACAGAGAAGAAGTAGACAGGCAAGTCAATAAACTCATTCTTGATAAAATAGTAGAGCCTTCAGTTTGCGAATACAACAGTCCGATATTACTGGTACCTAAAAAAGGTTTACCAGGTTCAGATAAAAAACGATGGCGATTAATAATAGACTATCGTCAAATTAATAAAAAGCTATTATCTGATAAATTCCCACTTCCACTAATTGATGATATTCTTGACCAGCTAGGGAGAGCAAAATATTTTTTATGCCTAAACTTAATGTCTGGATTTCATCAAATAGAGTTAAAAAACATTCTAGAAATTTAACGTCCTTTTCAACCAGCAATGGTTCATATTGTTTTATACGATTACCCTACGGTTTAAAAATTCTTTTCAAAGAATGATGACTATAGCATTTTCTGGATTAAACCCTTCACAAGCTTTCTTGTATATGGATGATTTAATTGTCATCGGTTGTTATGAAAAACACATGATCAAAAACTTGACAGATGTTTTTGACCTGTGCAGAAAACACAATCTAAAACTACATCCAGAAAAATGTTCTTTCTTCATCCACGAAGTGACATTTCTAGGTCATAAGTGTACTGATAATGGTATTTTACCAGATGACAAAAAATATGATGTCATCGAAAAATACCCAGTCCCCACCGACGCTGATAGCGCTAGAAGATTTATTGCATTCTGCAACTATAATAGACGTTTCATTAAAAACTCCGCCGAACATTCACGGCACATAACTAGATTATGTAAAAAGAATATCAATTTCCAATGGTCTGAGGAATGCCAATACACAAAAAGTCCCGCGCGGGTAATGTTCAAGATTTGCCTATGCAAACACTTGA